TATATTAGTAAACCATTCTATGACCTCCGCTGTCTTATGCCATTGATTTATTCCTAGAGCATATTTCCTGAAGATTACGCTGTGCAAGAAGCTCATAGTCGTGCTATCGCTGAGGGGTAATATTAGGTACCTCCACGAAATCGCTAAAAAAAAAGAGCATAGCTTGATGAAAAAGACGCCAAACTTGCCGAAAACTAAATTTTATTGTCTAAATGCTTATGTTATTATTAAGAGGAAAGACCAAAGTTTTTTTTTAATTATTTTTAAAAAATTTTCCGTTTTAGAACATTCTAAATTTTGATTAAAAAAACCTTTTTTCTATTTGTATCAGCGGAACTAGTAAATAACAGACAATTTTTAGCACGTTTTTTTTGGTATGACACATTAATTTGAAAAATCGTGCAAAAATAGAATTATCGGATGTTAATGAAACTTTCAGAAACTATTCACAGATGATCGAAATTATGTTTTTTTTATGAAAGTCATGGTAGAAATATATTTTTAAAAAAATATTTATTACCCCCCATAACTAATTTTATGAAAACGCTAGAAATTCGATCGCATCGGTTTTATTGATTACAATAATTAAAAGCACAGGCTTTGAGGAATGCAAATCATGTTTGTTTTTTTTTGTTTTTAATTGGATACGCAGTACCTGAAAATCAGCTCTGAATTGTAACATACAAGACTCAAAACAAATATATTACTTAATTTCAAATGCTTTTATTTGCTTTTAGTTGTTTTTATGAATATGGACAATATTTTCTGAAAGCAAAAAAATTTTTTCGATGAAAAATGAATTTTTAATACAATTATTTGTTATTTCATTAATTATAATAGATTTTACATTTAAGTTGTTAAAATATTATAAAATTAGTTAAAAAAGCCGCATCGGCTTTCATAAGTGTCATATGAGATAGATCTTTTTTTTTAGCGCGTTGTAAATTGTATCATTTTGACTAATCAGAAGATACCCAGTAATTAAGAAATGTAATTTTGTGCTTATAATCGAGCTGTAATTATAAAATACGGAAGACCAACCAGAATATAATTAAGTTGCGTTATTTGAGTTAAGCATTGTTCTCCGCTGTTAAGGCCTTTACTTTTGCGAAACACGTGTGGAGAAGTTAATTTGATTTTTCAATTTCAACTGAGAAGGGTACCTACAAGTATCAGTATCATCTTATGAAATTTATATGATCATATTTTTATATTAATCTCAGTTACGAAATTTTTCCATAAATGAAATATCAAAATTAATAATAAAATGAATACAAATAACAGAATGTAATAAATGTACATAAAATTATAGTATTTTATGTCCAATTCTGATAAAATTTCATAAGAAAGGTACCTATAAATTAATTAGATACCTTTCTTAAGAAATATGAAATTTAATGTCACTCTTAAGTTTTATTTTAATTTATTTACAATATATTTCCCATAAAGCATCATAAACGTGAAGGTGAAAGCTAAGTACAAAAAAAAAAAAAAAAAATTAGACTGCTGAAAGTTTTCGTTAAAAATAACGGGGTAAATAATTTGTTCACGTAAATGTAAATTATTTCACTTTTCTCCTTCCGTAGAACAAATTAGCCTCATGGAATTCGTAAATATATCATTCATCACATGTCAAGAGACGCGAAAGTTTATGACCTGCTTTGTTTTATTTTCAAATTACATCTTTTTTGGCACAAAAAAAGCTAAGTTAAGTTTGGTTCAAAATATTTTAAATAAACATTATAATTTCTGATTTTCTTAAAATAAGTTTTGAAAAAATAATTGATATTTAAAAAAATTTCAAAGTCAGATTTCCAGTTTTTTAAAAATGGAAAAAAAAATGGTCAATTTGCTGACTCCAAAAAAAAGATTTTTAACGAAAATTTCGGACGTGCTAGGAACGATTAAAAATGGAAAAAAATACCCCAAAAATACTTTGACCTTTCCTCTTAATAATAACAAACATTTAGACGATAAAATTTTGTTTTCGTCAAGTTTAGCGTCTTTTCATCATGCTATGCTCTTTTTTTAGCGATCTCGTTGAGGTACCTATATATATATATATATATATATATATATATATATATATATATATATATATATATTATATATATATATATATAATCGATTTAGGTAATCCGTATGGGTAGACCTGATATTGTCATTTTTCCATATATATATATATATATATATATATAATATATATAGTTTATGCAAATTTAGGCAATCCGTATGGGTTTCCTTATATATATATATATATATATATATATATATATATATATATATCAGGAGGTTTCTTTTTCAAATATTCATGTCTTGTCACTGCCTACTAAAAGGTAATGAAAACAATAGAAGAACAAGTAATACAAAGCACATTTACTGGATTCAGTTTATTTATTTTCATTGACACTCACACATCGAGAACGACTCTATGAACATTATAATTTTCGTGGCACAAAATAATGTGGCGCCATGTCCTGTTTGATATTTTACGAGGCTGTGATTGTTGCAAAAGCTCTCCGATCAACTTCCTTCAACTGATGGGTATTCTGGTATCATTCACGTGATATTCTCTCCTTGATAATACACTACAGAGCGTGGAAATAGAAAATTATATTATGTAGAGGTACCAAGAATTTCGGACCAACCTGTATATCTCAGAACAAAGTTATATAACTTGAAGCTCGATTGGTCTGCTGTATTGCAGCCGCCATATTCATTTGACTTTGTACTTAGAAACTTAGCTTTTTTTTTATTTGATCGCTACAACACGCTTTAATTGAAAAAAAACTCTAATGAAATTCGGATTGATGAATTCGTAGAAAACCTTTTCACATCAAATCTGAGGAATTTTACTCAATGTGCCGATGAGTTCTGTCTGATAAAATGCCAATGAATCATTGCAAAATTGGTGAATGTTGTAGAAACGTTGTGCAGTTTTCTCAACGAAACTCATTGGGAGTGGAGAAGTAAGAGGATTCAACTGCCATCTTGACAAAAATATCTTTCGTTATATTTTGTCTTCACAGAAAATTTATTGAAATGAGTTGCATTTGACGCCATCTGATTCGAGGAAAGTCAAAATTTGTATGTGTTCGAAGAGAGATATAAAATGCAAACTAATTAGCCGAAGTAGCAGTATTTTTTTTCTTCCTTCCTAGCAACTGTTTCCCTCTTTCGAAGCTGACTGGACGTGTTACCGAAACTGTTAAGTCCTAACTCTGTATCTGTCTATATTTCTGAGATGAGGTATTATGTGCACTATTTACATTATTCGGACTATTGTCATCTTTGTCGCCATATTTATTACAGACTTTTCGGCCGTTGTACGCTCCGGCCTTCTTCTCAAGGACACATGGCACAGCGGATAAAGGCGTTGGTTACATCCGGTGACAGGATCTAAAGAGTGTGAGTTCAATACCTGGTTAAGGCAGTGGAGAACTTGGAAAGGGTAATTAACAGGTGATAACTGATAACTGACATCCATTAAACATGTCACGTGGAACTAGAACAGTCTACCCCAGTGAGCGAAATAAGATGTATTATGTGCACTATTTAGACTATTATCCTCATCCTTGTCGCCATGGCACGTGGAACTAGAAAAGTCTACCCCAACGAGCGAAATAAAGGCTTCAGTTCGACATTCCAACCACCTGAAGAAGTCCGGAGCCTATAACGGCCGAAACTTAATAAATATGGTGACAAAGATGAGGACAATAGTCCGAATAATGTAAATAAACAATCTCTGTTATTTTCCAACGTTAAAAAAGAAGAAATTACTTGTAAGCAACATATAGCGTTTTTTGTTGCAATTCTTTTTACACAAATGATTGCCATCGCGAGTCTACACTAGTAACAAGTAAGAATTCATTATCATTTCATTCTTTCTGTGCTTAAGTTTCAGATTAAATACTAATAGTTGCTATTATAGTTTTCTATCTTCCCTTTCTTCAAACAGTCGGACTTAAAATCCCGACAATGGAGCCTTTAGCATATGGCAGGTCGAAATAATCTTTTAAAAAAAAAAATTGCACCTTAGCCCAATCAGGGTGGAAATTGTAAAATCGTCTTACTGCCTTTTCAAAGTATAGCGGCTCCCATAATTTCCTTAAACATTTACTAACCCCTTGAGAATCCACTGCGCCTTTTACGAAGTGTTACCACACACGTTGAGAATGCCAGCATTCTTTTTCTTTGTGTTGAACGATGACGATCATGGCTCTCCACAATTTCCAGACTTTTTGACACTAGGTCTTATTGCGATGCACGTTTGTCCATATATTGCCAAGACCTTAACTTTAATTGCAATATAAATGCATAAAGCAAAATTCACCCTCTATAAGGCCCAAGGGCCACTCGAAATAGAGAGGGTTACGTTATGGGGTAGTTTATATGGATACGAGGATAGCGGTTAACTCTAGACTTGAACAGGTTAAGATTGCAGTGATCGGGGAAACATCCTCTTGAGAGTTTGTTCCATAGAGCAATGGTTCGCGGAAAGAAGTTGGTTCAGTGGAATTTACTTCTTGCAGATGGAATACAAAACGGATATGGGTGGTTCACTATGCAGTTCTAGACTTGAGTTTCGTTTTAAATGCTCATAATTGTCATTATACTTTTTCTACGTTCCCTTTCACCAAACAATCGGACTTTACAACATAGACTTTAATAAAATGCAATTGGACTTTATTTTTTGAAGAATAAAATTAATAAACCAAAATAGAAATTATTTACGACTCTACCTAATGAACTTAAAAAAAAACCTGTTACACAATTGCGATCGAAATAAAAAAGATGGCAGCTATGACCTGCCTATAAAATCAGCATTCGATTTTTTTTTTTTGCAGTGACATCAACTTCTGGTATATATTTATAAATATATATATATATATATTTAGCGCCTTAATATCAGTCTACCTCTCTTCTTCCATTTTTGTAATAGAACTTGTGTGTCTTTTGCAAATTTTTACCTCATTTTATTCTCTTCCATCCCCACTTCGATGCTCCCCGTCCATAGCTCCCCACTTTCCTCAGTCTCACATTCCTTAATGAGCTTAAACCAAATGCTGGACATCTTTGAAAACTCCGCATCCATCGCTTACAAGGAGTGTATATCTGCTTCTTTGACCGAAGCACGGTGTGAGATGCACTAGGGAGAGGGTCGGTTGGTGACAGTCCTGCTTAAGGCTTCAAGGCTCTTTTCGATGGATCGCCTTGGTGGGTGGATTGGACTGGGCTGGTCTTGGAGGAAAAGACGATCCGAATTCTCAGGTTAACAACTAGAGTCCATTCCAGGAGAATTACACGGACCACCACACACACTGTAACAGCATGTAAGAAAAATTACACAGGCGTGAAATTCCCCCTTCGCTAAGATCGATCATTAGTCGTTGACAAGGGCTAAAGCCGATTCCGGATTCTCAGCCCAGCTGTCAGCTGCGAAGCGATTGTTCCGAGCTTAATTATCAAGACATACTGAAAATCCAGTTGTCAGTGTTATACATTCGTGTCTTCAAATGAAAATAGCCTGGTTTTATCTCCTGTGTGTTCCTTATCCTTCCCACCTATGCGAAAATGACTCCTTCACCTTTCAACAAAAGACCTTCAAGGATTTTTCCATCCCCCCCCTGTAACCAACAGTAACTGTCTCGGTTGGTGTGAGACTCGTTTCGAATAATGAAACAACGGTTTGCACAAAGGATTATGGACATCTTTGCTACATGTTAATATTTTGTATCTATATTCCTGAGAGTTTAAATTTTTGCTTTTATCGATCGGTTATTTCCTGCTTGAAGGTTTTGTCGCCAATGAAATCAAATGCCATAAATATTGAAAATCCTATTGTTTTTATTTCTTAAATAATGAAAAATATATTTATATATATATATATATATTATATTATTATATATATATTAATATATATTTTATATTATATATATATATCTATTATATATATATATATATATATATATATATATATATATATATATATTATATATATATATATATATATATATATATATATATATATATATATATATATATATATATATATATATATATATATATATATATATATATATATATATATATATATATATAATATCTATATATATATTGTATTTTATATATAATTCATAAATATATGCAAGAGTATATATATATATAAAACAATTATCTTAAAAAATGCATTTTTTCTTTATACATTCTTTTTATAAATACAAATATTTAAGTAAATGCTCTGTTCATATTAAACAGTATTAACATTTACCGGCCTGAATGTCATAGAAAATATGCGTCCTCCGACAGGAATCGAATCTGTATCCTAAACGGAACCGCCATATATTTAAAAAAATATGTAAATATTTGTATCTATAAAAAAAAAAGAATGTGTAAACATAAAAATGTCTTAAAATAATTGTCGGCCTTTGTCCATTTCATACTGTGTGACGTCATTTGTTTACATTTGGATACGCATCGAGCAAATATGAATGTATGTAAGAAATTCATGGTGAATTGTAGTCTAAAAAACAGTAAAATCGACCTTGCTAACCGAAACGCTGCTCTGTTGCGAAATCGGGAAATAGCACGTCAGGCTAAATGACGGTTCCATATAGGATACAGGTTCGAATCCTGTCGGAGGACGTATATTTTCTATGAAAATTTCTGACATTCAGGCCGGTAAATGTTATTAATACTGTTTATTATAAAACAGGGCATTTACTTAAATATTTGTATCTATAAAAAAGAATGTATAAACATAAAAATGTCTTAAAATATATATTGAAATGATTCCCATTATATATTATATATTTTTAAATGGTCCCTCATAAATAGGTTTTAAACGATCCAATTCAAATATTAAGTGTTTCCCTTTAAATATTTTAAACAGTTGACCGTATTTCGTTTGAAACGGTTTCTTCATTTGACATTTTTCTTATAAACTGCTTGATTTCCATATCATTTATCAGTTCGCTTTATGTATGTGTGAATAGCCTGATGAGACCGTAAGTTTGAAATCAAAATGTAGAGATTTAACTGGCCTCCTGATATATATATATATATATATATATATATATATATATATATATATATATATTTTATTTCAATAAAAGGTGCATTTAATTTACAAATTCATGAATTATTCATACAAAAACAAATACAAGGTTAATGATTTAATTGGCGAAAATCCATCCTCGAACAATTCAAATAATATACATAAACACCGAACCTGTTATGAATGAAAAAAAAAATAAATAAAATAAGTAAAATAAGAACTAATGCAACAGAAATTTATAAAAACAAGGATTTTTCATTCATTCATACAGGTTCGGGGTTTTTGTATATTATTTGAATTGTTTTGCGATATGGATTTCTCGCCAATTAAATCATTAACCTTTGTATTGGTTTTTTATAATAATTCATGAATATATATATATATATATATATATATATATATATATATATATATATATATATATATATATATACAAAGTATTTTTATTTTTATAATAAAGTTGTTTTTACGTTCTTTTCATAGATACAAGTATTTCATCCTCAAATGCTCTGTTTATAATAAAGTTTGTTTTTCTTAGCGTTTTTTCATCACTGCTCCTTTTCCTTCTCTCTTCTTCTTAATATTTCTTACTCCTTTTCCTTTCATCCTCAATATTTCTTACTCTTTTCCTTCATCCTCAATATTTCTCAATATTTTTTTCCTTCTTACTCTTTTTTTCCTTCTTACTCTTTTTTTCCTTCTTACTCTTTTTTTCCTTCTTACTCCTTTTTCCTTTATCCTCAATATTTCTTACTCTTTTTTCCTTCTTCCTCAATATTTCTTAGTCCTTTTTCCATTCTTCCTCAATATTTCTTACTCCTTTTTCCTTCTTCCTCAATATTTCTTACTCCTTTTTCCTTCTTCCTCAATATTTCTTACTCCTTTTTCCTTCTTCCTCAATATTTCTTACTCCTTTTTTCCTTCTTCCTCAATATTTCTTACTCTTTTTTTCCTTCTTCCTCAACATTTCTTACTCTTTTTCCTTCTTCCTTGATATTTCTTACTCTTTTTTCCTTCTTCCTTGATATTTCTTACTCTTTTTTCTTCTTCCTTGATATTTCTTACTCTTTTTTCCTTCTTCCTTGATATTTCTTACTCTTTTTTCCTTCTTCCTTGATATTTCTTACTCTTTTTTCCTTCTTCCTTGATATTTCTTACTCTTTTTTCCTTCTTCCTTGATATTTCTTACTCTTTTTTCCTTCTTCCTCGATATTTCTTACTCTTTTTTTCCTTCTTCCTCGATATTTCTTACTCTTTTTTTCCTTCTTCCTCAATATTTCTTACTCTTTTTCCTTCTTAATCTTTTTTCCTTCTTCCTCAATATTTCTTACTCCTTTTTCCTTCTTCCTTAATATTTCTTACTCTTTTTTTCCTTCTTCCTTAATATTTCTTACTCTTTTACTCTTTTTTCCTTACTCTTTTTTCCTTATTCCTCAATATTTCTTACTCCTTTTTCCTTCTTCCTTTTTCCTTCTTCCTTAATATTTCTTACTCCTTTTTCCTTCTCCCTCAATATTTCTTACTCTTTTTTCCTTACTCTTTTTTCCTTCTTCCTCAATTTCTTACTCCTTTTTCTTTCTTCCTTAATATTTCTTACTCCTTTTTCCTTCTTCCTTAATATTTCTTACTCCTTTTTCCTTCTCCCTCAATATTTCTTACTCTTTTTTCCTTCTTTACTCTTTTTTCCTTTTTTCTTCTTTTTTTTCTTCCTTCTTTCTTATCTTTTCCTTCTTACTCTTTTTTCCTTCTTTTTTCTTTTTCCTTCTTACTCTTTTTTCTTCCTTTTCTTCTCTTTTTTCTTCTTCTCTTTTTCCTTTTTCCTTCTTTTTCCTTCTTACTCTTTTTTCCTTCTTACTCTTTTTTCCTTCTTACTCTTTTTTCCTTCTTACTCTTTTTTCCTTCTTACTCTTTTTTCCTTCTTACTCTTTTTTCCTTCTTACTCTTTTTTCCTTCTTCCTCAATATTTCTTACTCTTTTCCTTCTTACTCTTTTTTTCTTACTCTTTTCCTTCATCCTCAATATTTCTTACTCTTTTTTCCTTCATCCTCAATATTTTTTCCTTCATCCTCAATATTTTTTCCTTTTTTCCTTCATCCTCAATTTTTTCCTCTTTTTTTTTTTCCTTCTTACTCTTTTTTTCTTTTCCTTTCCTTCTTACTCTTTTTTTACTTTTTCTTCTTTTTTTTTTCTTCCTTCATCCTCAATATTTCTTACTCTTTTTTCCTTCATCCTCAATATTTTTTCCTTCATCTTCAATATTTCTTACTCTTTTTTTCCTTACTCTTTTTTTCCTTACTCTTTTTTTCCTTACTCTTTTTTTCCTTACTCTTTTTTTCCTTACTCTTTTTTTCCTTACTCTTTTTTTCCTTACTCTTTTTTTCCTTCTTTTTTTTCTTTTTTTCTTACTTTTTTTTCCTTTTTTTTTTTTTTCCTTACTCTTTTTTTCCTTACTCTTTTTTTCCTTACTCTTTTTTTCCTTCATCCTCAATATTTCTTACTCTTTTTTTTTTTCCTTTATCCACAATATTTCTTACTCTTTTCCTTCATCCTCAATATTTCTTACGCTTTTTTCCTTCTCTCTCTCTTCTTCCACAATATCCCTACTCTTTTTACTTTCTCTTCCTTCTCAATATCCCTACTTTTCTTTCTCATCTCTCTTCTACCTTAATAATTCTATTTCTTTTCTTTCCTATCTATCACTTTTTTTTTTTTTTTTCTCGATTAATTCTACTTTCCAAAATATTTTAGCTAAATAAACATATTTCGAATATGTAGATGTTTTATTAACTCCAATTTTTTCTAACACGCTGCCGTACAAATCTATATTTTCTGGAGCCATATTCCGACTTTTTGAAGCATTTGGCTTTGTGAATTGTTTATAGTTCTCGCAAACGCAGGGCAAACCGAAAACTGAATTCTTGTATATAACAACTTAAAGAAAAGTTAAACAAAAAAACAATATTGTATTTTTATTAAATAATTATTTTAATCATTGAATTGTCTTTAAAATCGTGGGTGTATTTTGTATGTTAAATATTAAAACTTAATTATAAAAAAAAAAAAAATGAATGAGAATTTATCTTACTAAGATACGCACCCGAGTAAAACCAACTGAACTTTGTACCCTCTTACCTTTTAGTATCACGTTGAAACACCGTCCGACCCCCCAACGTATCCAATATCAAGTTTAATCGGTACCTAGATGGTCTTACGCTCAGATACCGTTGATAAATCTATGACTCCCCTTTCAAGGGCTAAAATATTATTTGGCTTTAAATAACCTGCAAAGGGTTGATAAGCCATAAAAAATGAATTAATTTTCCTTGGTTGCCTTTTCACTCCAGCACAGAAATTCGTGAGATCACGCTCACCAATTTCTAAGAGCCACTGAATATGTTCTTCCAAAAATTTTCGTTCCTGGGAAAACCATTTAGCCTGAGGTTGGCGTTTGACATCCCTAAAATAGCAACAAATAGCCCTCAGCTCTAGTGATACGCGGAATCAAGTGGGATCGTACGGCTTTTTAGCTTGGTAGGGATAATGTTGGGTTCTTCCTTCTAGCAGTTGTGCATAGAAAAAGAAAAAAAAATACGAAAATTGGTCTGAATTTCTGGGATGAGGAGGTATCATTATTTACACTGTTACATCAGGACAATTATCCTAATCTTTGTTGTTGTTCTCACAACGTTTCGGCTTTGTACCCTCCGGTCTTCATCAGATGTATAGCGATCCGGTTAAACTACAGGGAATTTCGAACTGAACTTCCGTAGATTAAATAAAAGGTTCAATTCGGAATTTCCATTATTGGTAACGATATTAGGTGTTTCCTTATAAGGAAACATTTGTCATTCATTGACCGAGCAACCACTACTGTTTTCGGTTGAAATTTTTTTTTCTTTAAAGGGAACCTGCTGCTCAAGTCCAGTAGCTGTTATCGCTCTTTCTAGTATTGATAGATGTTTCCTTCCTAACCTTTTCTTTAAAGAGGTGTGGAATGTCAACCTCTTGATTGTCATTATTTGCCCTTCGAGTTGGATGTACTATCCATTGTATCTGTTGCTGCTCTTCAAGTGATATGATTTCTGTTGTTTGGCACAGTTCTTTGTTTGTGATACTATAGCACTAGTCCACAATATTCAAAGAAGGATGACATTTCTAAAGACTCTCGGGCTTTATTCATTCTTTTTTTGCCAATGATCTTATGGCATGGTTGTGTACAGCTGATAGTCTAGGTATTTCTGACAGTTTCTCACCATGCCTGACATCCATATATCAAATTGACGAGGCTATTTAAAACATGGCACGATTTTTCAGGTTTATGTTTATAAGTCCAATGGTGATCATCTTCAGGGCCTCAGACTTAACATCAAGTGCGTTGAGGGGATAATGCTGCCCTGAGCTAATACAGTGGTTGCTGGAAGACTTTATCTGGCAACAGGACTCTGCACCATACCACACAAGCAGAAGTCATGACTGTCACACAATTTCTGCGACCACATCACCCGTTACATCTGGCCGCCTAACTCGACAAACTGCCACATTCAAGATTGTTTGGTTTGCAGTTGGGCGAGAGACCGACAAAACTCGTAACACGAAAGATGAATTGAAAACAAGGTACCAACTTAAACAAGGAAACCGTCCAGAAGAGTTGCAGAAGATTCCGAAGTCTTTTGAAGGCTGTGGTTGAAGCTAATGCCGATTTCATTGAATAGTTTGTGTAATTTTGGTAAATATACCTTTTAAATTAAGATGTCGGCTTTATTTTCACCTTTGCGTCATTGAGACAAAGATTTATTCCTCGCACTCTGTACTAGGCATTTTTTATCTTATTCGATATAAGTAAAAGTAGTTGGTCCAAATCCAGTCATTTCCGGGTGAAACAGGAGTGACCTCTCCGGGGTGCAAGCGTAGGCAATGGTATATCTCGGTTGTAGCGACAATAGCTTAATGAATAGAAAGCATTTGGGAACATCTTGGCTTACCGCAATGTTGTGATGACAGCCAACTGTTTTAAGGGCTCAACTTCGGGTTTTATATCATGATATATTTCTATAGTCTTTTCCTTCTAAGAGATGGACTGCCTTCCTGGGCTGTAAAGATCCACCTATCCGCTTGAATATAGGGCGTGTTTTTATGGTCAGAATTTTACGCAGAATACATGGAGTCGCACTATTCACAGGTGAAAGTCTTGCATTGTCTGCGACCAGGTGCATTATGCATAGGTTATTCTATTCTGGAGGGGTTAAAATTCAAGCCAAAAAAAAACAAAAAAAAATCAGGGGTCGCATTATACATGAAACTGGCATATACACAAGTATATACGGTATGTTCAGTCTTAATCCTAGATACGTTCGACATGGTACTTTGATAATATATATGACCAAAAAGTGACTGTAATTGTAAGAGCGCCAGCTTTTCGATCATAAAAACCAGGGTTCGAATCTCACCTTGTTCGATTTATAGAGAAAGTGACTTATTAATAACATTGTTCTTGGGAGAAGCAGGGAGCAGCACCAGTAAGGGAAAGTTCCTGGAAAACCATTCCACTGGTTGATTCAATCTTTGGGTCTAAAATTAGGTAGACGAAGCTTTTTCGAATCTGACGATGGTTGCGCGATCATGAAGACTTGATTGTGCCAAGGTAGCTTACTACTTATTGTTCTGCGAGTGTCAAATTCTGAAAGCCTTCTTTCCTCGTAATGTTTCCTAGAAATTTTAACACTGTAAGTATGTGTACTTTTTTTTGTTTCGATTTTCCTAAAAACTTCCTCGTTGCTTTCATGTTCTGTCTATGGTATTCTCTGCATCCTTTTGTAGAACGAAGCCTATTGCGTGAAGTCCTCCTTTTCATTTGAAGAAATTGGCATGTATTCGATAACCGTATAAGAGGATTATCAACCCGTGTCCGTCCTGGGTAAGAAGATAAACTACATCCGACAGCAAGGCTTTTAATCAGAAGGTTTTGAGGAGCATTGAACTACCTCCTTATTGATGGTGTTCCCAGGTCTACTCAGATCCGGGGTGGTAGTACCTGTCAGAGTCTCAGCTATGGGCAAATAGTTAACCCTCCAAAAGGGGTCAAAACGCAATGAAAGTATAAAAAT